GTGTGTGTGTATGAGTGCTTGTGTGTGTGTGTATAAGTGTGTGTGTGTAAGTTTGTGTGTGTGCGTGTGTGCGTGTGTAAGTGTGTGTGTGTAAGTTTGTGTGTGTGTAAGTGTGTGTTTGTGTGTGTGTGTGTATGTATGAAGTGTGTGTGTGTAAGTTTATGTGTGTGCTTGTGTGTGTAAGTTTGTGTGTGTGTGTGTGTGTGTAAGTTTGTGTGTGCATGTGTGCACATAGCTGTAACTCCTTTCCTTCTCTCTGCCCCTCCAGAACAGCATTGCCCTGGCATCAGTGCAGTTGCCTCCTTCCCTGTTGTCCCGCTCGGCCCCTGGCATGGCTGGGAACAGCTCCAGTTGCCGGCTGCAGTTTGTGGTATTCCGTAATGGGAAGCTCTTCCCGAGCACCGGAAACTCGAGCAGCCTCGCTGATAACAGCGGGCAGCGGATCCCCTCTACTCCGGTCATCTTCACCGGGACAGGTGAGGCACTGTGGGCACTGTGCAGGCGAGGGTGGGGGGACAGGGGCACCGTCTGGGATTGCCGCTGGATGGTGTGAACACCAGCAAACACGGAGAATGGCAGAGGGGCGGGGGTTCGGGAGAGGGCACAGAGAGCCAAGCTGCTGCTTGGTCAACATGATGGTATAAAGTTGGGGGGTGGGCTGGTCGCTGACTGTGTCCGAAAACCTTAGCGGATCAGAGAGACTCCAGGGGAACAGAGAGAGAGAGAGAGAGAGAAACCGTGAACATATCATCAGAATGACACTTTGGGGCAGGCAGCAGTGGTACTGCCCATTGGCGAGCTCCTAGCTCAAAGCTCTCTCAGAGATAGTAGGAACTGCAGATGCTGGAGAATCTGAGATAACAAGGTGTAGAGCTGGATGAACACAGCAGGCCAAGCAGCATCAGAGGAGCAGGGAGGCTGATGTTTCGGGCCTAGACCTACACCTTGTCATCTCTTGCTCTCTCAGACAGCCCACTTTGTGAGCAGCCTGTGAGCTGGCCAGCGGCTTTCACTGGCAAACTGTGTTCCCCTGGACCTGAGAGCACTACCCAGCTCCTCTCGGGGAACGTCCCTAAGCTCAGGAGATGCTGCTTTGGCAGAAGCTATGTCAGCCACAGAGCCGGACCCGAAACGTCTGCTGGCCAGCCTGGCTGTGGTATCAGCGTACGCGTCTCTGTTTCTGTCCAAGTGAGCACATTCAGGAGCACAGCCCACACCTCCAACATGCAGTGAATCCTCCAGGAGTGAACTGAACTGGATTGATACACTCTTTCAGGAAGATTGCCCCCAACCCCTCACCTACCCTTCTGGCTCAGTCCCAATGGTCTCGGGATTGGAGGAGGGCTGACTGGCCGCCTCCTGTTCCCAAGCATTGTCGATGGTTTCTGAGGGTCTTGTTGCAAAGACAGAGAGGACTAGCGGGGAGCATGGGCACAGCTAACTCAAGCCTGTGTATGGACCCTGTCAGGTGTGGGGTGTTTTCTGACAGTCTGACCCCACACCGTGAGTAAGTGTGCGGGTCAGACTGTCCCGAGAACACCAGCAATGAGACCCGGCTTCCATTGGTTTGAGGGGGGAGGTCAGTCATACCTGGCTCTCAGAGACAGCCTGCTGCAAGGGGCTGGATGTCACTGCCTGCTCTCCCTGGCCATTGCAGAAGCTGATGTGAAGGGGGGTGAGCGGTAACTGGAGAGGGAGCGAAATCCCAGGCAGGGCCCAGATGACACCAGCTCTGATAGTGTGGGAGCGTCAGTGCGCAACAGCCTCAAACAGCAAGATACACAACAAAGAAGTGAGAGAGGGAGGAAGGGAACTCCCATGTTGAAAGGTCACCATTGCTGTAGCGGAGGAATCGAGGCAGCTGGCGTGTGCACAGCAAGATCCCAATTTGACATAGAGATAACTCAGCAGCTAATTGGTTTCAGGGGTTAAACAGACACTGAACACCACGCTCTGTGCAGTTTAATGTCGCCCATCTGCCTGAGTCCTTCTTATTCCCAGGAAATACCTGTGGGGTTTAAAACATGGGCAGAGGAGAGAGGGAGACACTGCACCCTGTCAATAAGGGCCTGAGATCAAGAAAGCACAGACAGACGGACACTTTCGGAAGGAAGCAGGGAGAGACCGAGACTTTATCCGCTGGAAGTGTGGCGGAGACGTGTTCAGTTGTGGACCCAAAGAGGATTCAAACACAGGCAATGTGTTGGGACATGGGCTAAAGGCAGTACAATGACACCGAGCAGAAGGCCCCTTCAGAGAACTGGTGTGGACAGGATGGGCTGAATGGCCTCGTTCTGCATGTTGACAAGTTTTGGTGGGGGGGTAACTTTGTGACACTTGCTGGGTGTTCAGCTGGATGGCCCAGTCCTGCTCTGGCACCGTTCAATGATGTGAGCTTGTTTGGATTCTCAGGGCAACCTACAAGATACTTGGGAGCAACATGCTATGTCAGGGTTTAAAGAACACGATGGACAATGTCATAGACCCGTAGAGCTGTACAATACGGAAGCAGACTCTTCGGCCCAACTTGTCCGTGCCAACCAGATATTCTACATTAATCCAGACCCATTTGCCAGCATTTGACCCATATCCCTCTAAACCCTTCCTATTCATATACCCATCCAGATGCCTTTTAAATGTTGTCATCGTACCAACCTCTTCCTCTGGCAGTTCATTCCCTACATGCACCATCCTCTGCATGAAAATGTTACCCCTTAGGTCCCTTTTAAATCTTGCCCCCCTCACCTTAAACCTATGTCCCTTAGTTTTGGACTCCCTTACCCTGGGGAAAAGACTTTGGCTATTTACCCTATCCATGTCCCTCATGATTTTATAAACCTGTATAAGGTCACCCCTCAGCCTCGACACTCCAGGAAAAATAGCCCCAGCCTATTAAGCGTCTCCCTGTAGCTCAAACCCTCCCAACCCTGGCAACATCCTTGTAAATCTTTTCTGAACCCTTTCAAGTTTCACGGCATGGTGACTCAGCGGTTAGCACTGCTGCCTCACAGCGCCAGGGACCCGGGTTCGATTCCACCCTCGGGCGACTGTCTGTGTGGAGTTTGCACATTCTCCTCGTGTCTGCGTGGGTTTCCTCCGAGTGCTCCACTTTGCTCCCACAGTCCAAAGATGTGCAGGTTAGGGTGGATTGGTCTGGGAAATAGCCTGTAGTGTCCAGGGATGTGTAAGCTGTGTGGGTTAGCCATGGGCAATGCAGGGTTACAGGGACAGGGTAGAGAAATGGGTCAGTGTGGACTTGTTGGACCAAATGGCCTATTTCCACACTGTTGGAATTCTATGGGTTCTATTCAATGGAATATCCTTCCGATAACAGGGAGACCAGAATTGAACCCAGTATTCCAAAAGTAGCCTCACCAAAGTCCTGTACAGCCATAACATGATGTCCCAACTCCAATACTCGATGTACTGACCAATGAAGGTGACCACATGATGTGGTTCCTCAGGGCAGGCAGTGTCTCCCTGCAGGATAGCTAGAACATTGTCTATGACACAAGAATGGGAATATGCCCCACACAGTCAGCTCCTGGGTCAAACTGTGCCAGTATACCTGCTGTGATGCATGTATGGTGTAGGTGGGCATTGAACCTGGGTCTCCCGGTCCAGAGGGAGGGACATTACCGCACGCTTCCCACCCTGAGCAGCCACCAATATCAGGCTGAGCTGTTCCATGATGTGTATTAACGGTGAAATGTTAGCCTCAGCACTAGACTTAGAGGGAGCCGAATTCCCTTCCTTCCAAATCATGTCCCAGAATCTAATGCATCGAACCAGAAAGGAGTTCCTCCAACAACATCAGCATCCCATGGTGCGTGTGAATAAATGTATCTATGCAGCAGCTCAAAAGCTGAAGCATAAATCCAACTTCTGTGAAACTTCATGTGGGGCTATTGAAACCATTCTGTACATAAGTAATTACAAATTGATGAATCTGAAATGCAAAACATACGTCCTCCATAATAACAGAAAGGTGCCTGAAACGGCCAGGAGTAAAATGATGGATTTTCCCCGGCTCTCCATCTCGGGCTCAGTGTGTGTCTTGTTGTTGCTATTTCCCCGAAGCCTCCTGCGGACTCTATCGGCCAATAAAATGTATCTAATGTTCAGAGCATTGATGAGCAAAAGTGGAGGACATGGGGTTAAGAGTGAATCCAGCCATTCAAACACCTGCCATCCGAGCTCAATATAGTACCTTTGAGGGACAGCACAGAACCATGGCACATTATTGTACCTGCCCAGAGATGTGTAAGTAAAGTACACAGGAATATTTTTTATACAGAATAGAGTGCAGTTAGCTGTTATAACTGTAGCTGCAGTTTTCCCTGCACAGTATCTTAATCTCAATTTCTGGCAACTAATGGCCACACAGCAATCAAAAGTGACTGCAACAGTTAACCAGAGAGAACTGTCAGTGGATATAAACAACAGGACAGATTTGAGACTGTTATATCCAGGAAGCAATATGGAAAATAACTGCTATTAATCTGAGTCCATATCACATCAAAGATAACTACCATTAGGTCTGCCACTGCCATGGTAATCATTTAATAAGTGATGCAGTTGGAGAGACCACAGTTCACCTGAGACAGGATGATAATGGTCACAAGGTTCACTTGTGAGAAAGAGAAATAAAGGGATTTACTGATGAAGCTTACTGCAGGCTGGTTAATGTGACAGTGCTGCTGCATCAGACATTAAGTTTCATTGTGTAACCCACCATGCAGAACAACACGTGTTTGCAGTAATAATACTGAATGATGTCCTTCCTTCCCTGCCTCTCCCCTAAAAAGCTGTGACAATGCTATTCAACATCTCAACCTGACAGCAGGGAGTGTCCTTCAAGGAAATGTGAAACTGAGACAGTCTCGGGAAGCTGATCTAAGGCTAGTTTGGGAGAGCCCGACCTTACTGATGCAGATGAACAAATTAGACAGCGAACCCGACACAGTCTGATTGGTAATACACAATGAGAGGCACTGGAAGAAAGTACAACATGACTTTTCAAACCTAGCCACTGTTTTAATGTCGGAAACAAAGCAGAAAATTCACCCAAGATTCACAAACAGCAAGGTGATCATGAGCAGGTTGCCTATTCCTGTGAGGTTTATCTGAAAGACAGTGCGTCAGGCAGGGCAGCTTTCTGTTAGGCTTGTGCTGGGAGCATCAGCCTGCATGAAATGTTGATGGGGATTCGAACGCACAACCTTTCAGCTCAGAGCATGGAGTGTGCCCGTCTGAGCCCCAGCTGACATCCTCAGTGTAATATCCCTCACTTGGGAAGAGGGACTGATGATCACAAGGAACTAGGAACAGGTTGTGAGCTGAAACAGCGTACGTCTGAAAGAAAGGAGCTCAAATTCTGGAAAGTCACAGCAGCTCAATTAACACCTGAATATGACAGAGACGCTGATGTTTCTGTGGAAAAGCCAATCACACATTTACTAACAAAGTTGTCCAATTTACCAGGAATACCAAGAGCTGCAAGAACTGGACAGGAAATGTCTTGTATCTGCCAAATGATCGGTGGTTGCATTTTCCCTCAGGAATGATGCCAGCCTCTGCCACAGGCACTGAGTCTGTCAAAGTTAATGATCCAAATGCTCCAGAAATCTCCCCCTTATCCCTGAAGGAGTCTCCTGCAGTTCCCCCCTCCCCACCCCACCCACTCCACGCTGCCCCCAGCGGGGCTATTAGCTGTCACTGCTGAAGCAAACACATCGAATGCTCATCAGTTCGCAAGGTGCTGAGATTTTGAAGGTGGAATTTTGTGGAAGGAGGGATTTGGAGCTAATTGGGATGGAATGTCACTCCCCCAACTCCGGGGTGGGGGTGGGGGGGAGGGGGGCGGAGTAGGACATCCTTCAGCTAAGGCAAGCCTGCAGAATGTTCCGAGTTGTTGGGGACTGAGAGGAGCTGCTGGTCACTGGCCGAGTGCAGAGTGGGAAGGGTAATTCCATGTTGTTTTCCTTCTGTCTTCCCAGATGGTTGTGGTGTGAATGAGAGCAGGGAGCCCATCCTGGTTTCCCTACGTCACTGGCAGTCGGGTGAAGACCAGGTGGCGGCCTGTTGGAACTTTGAGCTCCTCGATGGCTATGGAGGCTGGCAAACCGCAGGGTGCCAAATCACGCAGACCAAAGCCAACATCACAAACATGTGGTGTCACACATTGAGTAACATGGCAGTCCTGAAGGTGAGCAGACACTGGGTGTGTGTGGGCACGGCTGGCACACGGGGAATAGCTGCCAACACAAACCACCACAAGCTGTTGTGTTCTTCATTCGAACAGACACATGAGCAGTGCTTCCTTGATCAACTGTTCGCATCTTGCCAGAGATTAATGGCCATCTCATTGCAATTGATCTCCTTCACCCATTCTCCCCCAGACATCACGCTGTCTCTCTGATCCTCCTCCAGTTTGATTGTTAAATTCTCATGTCTCTCAACGGATGCCTCCATCGCCTCACAGCTCTCGGTCTCTGTCACCTGCTCCAATCCTCACCCTGAACCCTTTTGGATCTCAACCTTGTTGACCAGGGAGGAACTGGCTCTGGAAGTAAGCAGCTGATGGAGGGAGCCCAGCGAGCGGTTTTAAACATGGAGCTGTGCTCCTTCCTTGTCTCTGTCTGTGCACAGGAGAAGCCTGGAATGCAGGGTGATAGAGAAGCCCTGTGCACAGACTCACTTTCAGTGGAAGTGAAGAGTAGAGATGGTTTGAGGTGTTCCACAGCAGGGAAGGGTCTTACTGTTTTGAACTTCCTGACGTGGCCCACCTTAAGAAAGGCAGCAGCCCACACAGAAACACAAGCTGCTCTGAGAGTCCGTTACACCAGACTGATTGCCCCAGTTTTGAGGTCTGTTCCCAGTCCCTCCATTCACCCTCAGATCGAGTGGATGAAGGTACAGCTTCACTGAGGAGGTGTACCATTTGGTCAGGGATTTGTGACATTGAAACACCTCATGTTAACCAACAGAACTAGACCACAAGATCACACAAAGCTATCATTGTTGTGTCTGCTTGAATTGAATAAATTCATGTCACGGTTTAGTTTATAACACTGTCAGTTAGGCCCTGGGGCTTCCTTTCTCAGTTCTGCCAAGGATTCTCGAATGAGACACATCATAGAATTCATAGAATCCCGACAGTGTGAAAACAGGCCCTTCGGCCCAACAAGTCCACACCGACCCTCAGAGCATCCCACCCAGACCCATTCCCCTATAACCCATCTAATCTACACATCCCTGAACACTATGGGCAATTTAGCATGGCCAATCCACCTAGCCTGCACAACTTTGGACTGTGGGAAGAAACTGGAGCGCCTGGAAGAAACCCACGCAGACACGGGGAGAAGGTTATTTAGCTCTGCAGAGCCCACCATAAGGATACCACAATCTAATGTTCTGGTAATTTTCTCCTTCCTTCTAAACTCATTTAGCTGATTGTTTGAGTTTGGAATGAGACAGTGTGGGGCCTACTGTAGAGACTGCCAGTAACTTCACATTAGACAATGTTGGAGTTTCTGTTCCATCACCACATTCACACAAAAGGTTTGGTTAACCCTGCACACAGCCAATGACAAAGTTGTCTTCAGTTGACAGGGCAGCTCTGTGTCGATGCCATTTTTACTGGCTGTCTTCTCTCAGTGAGCTGCAGACCATGTCAGGAGGTCAAAACTGAAACTAACTCTTCCATCAATGTCACACCCCACTCCCACCCCCACCCAGAGGGAGGCCGTTCAACCCACCGAGCCTGTACTGACTCTTCAAGCAAGTATCATGACGTGGTGCCAATCTCCTGCTTCCTCCCCATGCCGTTGCACATTCTTTGTATCCAAATAATTACCTCCCATCAGTTGAGCCGACCTTGCCTGCGTCCCCATTCCCCGATTACTCACTGAGGGAAAAAGGTTTTTCCTCACCTTACATTTGCTTCTTTTGCAAATCACTTTCAGTCTCTGCCTGTGGGCCTTGATCAGTTCACGTGTGGGAACAGTCTATCCCAAAGTGTTCGCTCCATCCCTCCCTATGGTTTGGAAGACCTTTCTCAAATCTCCTCTCAGTATTCTTCTCTCCAAGGAGAACAGTCCCAATTTCTTTAATCTATCCTCATCCCTGAAGTTTCTCATCGCTGGATCTATTGTAAATCCCTTGTACCCTATCTCCAATACATTCACATCTTTCCTACAATATGGCACCCACAACGCTACACATTCCTCCAGCTGAGGTCGAGCAAGTGTCTTATACAAGCTCATCATCACCTTCTTGTTCTTGTACTCTGTGCCCCTGTCACTAAGTTGTGTTCAGTTCTGATCACTTCATTATAGGAAGGATGTGGAAGCTTTAGAGAGGGTGCGGAGGAGATTTACCAGGATGCTTCCTGGACTGGAGGGCAGGTCTTGTGAGGAAGGGTTGAGGGAGCTAGGGCTTTTTTCATTGAAGCGAAGAAGGATGAGAGGTGACTTGATAGAGGTTTACAAGATGGTGAGAGACATAGATAGAGTGGCTAGTGAGAGACTTTTTCCCAGGGCGGAAATGACTATTACGAGGGGGGCATAATTTTAAGGTGATTAGAGGAAAGTATAGGGGAGATGTCAGAGGTAGGTTCTTCACACAGAGAGTGGTGGGTGTATGGAATGCGCTGCCGGCAGTGGTAGTGGAGTCAGATACTTTAGAGACTTTTAAACGACTCTTGGATAGGCACATGGAGGATAGTAAAATGTAGGGTATGCAGGGTAGATTGATCTTAGTAGCATAATAGGTCAATACAACATTGTGGGCCGAAGGGCCTGTACTGTGCTGTACCGTTCTATGTTCTTAAAATTGAGAACACTGTGTGCTTTATTCATTGCTAACTACAGCCCACCTACCACCTTCAGTGATCAGTGCATGGAAACACTCAGGCCCCTCTGCTCCTGCAGCCCCTTTAGAATTGTACCCCCGGTTTTAGATTGTCTTCCAATGTTCTTCTGACCGAAGTACATCACCTCACACTTCTCTCACTGAACCACATCTGCCACCTATCTACCCATTCCACCAATCTGTCAGTGTCCTTTTGGAGTTCCACAGTGTCCCCCTCACATCTCCCAAGGTTGCTGTCATCTGCAAACTCTAAAACTGTCCCCTGCACACCAAGACTAGACCATTAATAAATATCTAAAAAAGCCCAGGTTCCAACACTGAACCCTGGGGAACTCTGTGACAAACCTTCCTCCAGCGTGAAAATGATCCATTCACCATGACTGTCTATTTCACTCAAGTCAGTTTGATACCAACATTGCTACTGTCCCTTGTACACCATGACCAAGAATTTTCCTCACAAATCTGTTGTGTCGCACTGTCTCAAACATCTTCTGAAATCCACATATACCACATCAACAGCATTCCTCTCATTGAGCCTTTCTGTTCACTCTTCAAAAAACTCCAGGAAGTTTATTCAAGTTAGGGAACATTAACACTGGACTGTCATTTCAGAGACCCAGATAATGTTATGGGGACCCGGGTTCGAATCCCAACATGGCCGAATTTGAATATGATTATAAAAAATCTGGAATTAAAAGTCTCATTATGCCATGAAGCCATTGTCGATTGTCAGAAAAAACTCATCTGATGGACTAATGTCCTTTAGGGAAGGAAGCTGCCATCCTCACCTGGTCTGGTCTACATGTGACTCCAGACCCACAGCAATATGGTTGACTCTTTAACTGCCCTCTGGGCAATTAGGGATGGGTAATAAATGCTGGCCTAGAAGGTGATGCCCTCATCCTATGAATAACTTTTTAACAAATTCAACATGAATTTCCCTTAAGAAATCCATGCTGACTCTTCCTAATCAAACCATCTTTTTCCTATGAGACAACTGACTCTATTCATTGTTTCGAGAAGCTTCTCCAGCCTGGATATTAAACTGACTGATTTCAGTCAGTCTTTATGTTAGTTAAAGGCTGATTTCTGCCTTTATTGCCTTTCATGTTTTACTCACTTTGTTCTGTGTCCTAACACAAAGCCACCTCTGTGAACACTGTCCCTTCCCAAGTATTGGGGACATGATGTTTCCAGCTCTTTAACTAAGTTTGCTGAGCTGCTGTTTGTGAGCTCTCCATCTACTGTGTTTGCCATTTCTAACCTACAGGAGGTTCAGACTGAGGTAGTCTCATACCCTGTAGTTTTTATGTTGTGTCACACTGTTGATTTTAGTTGAACACCATTAGCCAGACTACCTGTTCTGTCACCTGCCTACTCCTGCACTTCCCACCATCCAACCTTCCTCACATCCACTTTCCTGCCCTTTCCCCATAACCTTTATTCCCCGACTGATAAGAATCTATCTCAGCCTTAAATATACACAAGGACTCCCTGTGGCAAGGAGTTCCAAAGACTGAGAGAAGAAATTCTTAAATTGCCACCCCTTTATTCTGGAAGTGTGTCCTCTGGACCTAGGCTCTCTCACGAGGAGAAAACATCCTCTTAGCATTTATCCTGTCAAGCCCGTTAAGAATCTTCTATGTTTCAATGACATTGCCTTTTATTTTTCTAAACTCCAGTAGTAGAGTCCCAACCTGTTCAACCTTTTCCCCTGTGTGGCCCTCCACTTCGCTTCCTGCCCTGGCTCCTGGCTTTGAGGTCCCACCCTGACCTGGCCTTGCCTTTCTTCTGGATTTCCCTTCTTCTCTGGGCCTTTCTCCTTGAGTTTTGTCACTCTCCCAGGCTTTGTTTTTCAATCAGAATTCCAGAGTTGCTTCCCGTCCATGTTCCAACTCTCTCTTCCCTACTGTCCTTACCTACTACACCACCTCTCTCTTCCTGAGAGGTCCTGGGGATTCTTCTTCTGGCTCCTCCCTCATCCTTCAATGATTCCTGAACTTGCAAGCTCTGGTCTCCATCTGATGACAGGAGTGAGGCAATGTGGGGTCTCCAGCTGGACAGACCAGGTCTACCACAATACAGAGCCTGCTCCGTGCAATAGGGCACTATTGTCTGGTGAATGGATGTTTAAAGTTGTACTTGTGATAATCCCAAGGTGGTGTGAATCGCAGACAGATCAAATCCCACAGTGAAACCTGGTCTGATAACACCCTAACCCTAACTTGGATTTCTTTTCATTGTGGAGGTCAACTACCGCACACATTCACCAGCTCTTCCAATCTTGTTGACCTTTAACACAAACTTGTGTTGAACAAGAAAGGCCATGAACTCAATGTATTGTACTTGACGAGAGAGATCAGAAAGATTTCATTACAAACGCCTATAAAGGTTTCAAATTAACTCTGTCCTTTTTAGCTTTTCAAAAGCTTTTAGCTTTATCTTTACAAAAAGCCCCAGCATAGCTTCACTACTGTCTCCACCATGATTATATTGGTGCATGTGATCGCAATTCATTCATTTTTGAGTTTGGATTTTGAACTGGGGGCATTGGGCTGTGAGAATGAAGGTGTTTATTGATTAACATGTCAGTGAGCTACAATGTTTTTAAACCAGTGTGAGAGTGATATTGTGCCAATCATGGGAATTTATTTGTATCGTCATTGGAGAATTTTACAAGTGCATAGAGTAAACATTGAAGAGCAGAAAAAGATTTACTTTCATTTTGCATAAGTCTAGGTAGAAGTTAGATGCATGATGACAGTTCCTCCTGAAGAGAGGAGATATTTCAGAATAGTTAGCTCTGTGTACAGATTTTAGTTTCCACGTTCCAGAACAGAAGTGTTTGGTGAGAGCCATGAAGGGATTATTCAAAGCTGAGAAAGTCAAAGCTCAGTTGTGTGAATAATTGAGGAAGAGGTTATCAAGCTGTTAAGACAGGGAATTAAAAGAAACAATTAAGCTTGAGCTATAGGTTGTAACAGCGGAGGGAATTCTGTCTGGTGTTTGAATACTGTAAAGTGATTGTTTTAGAATAGATGGGATTGTATTTTTACTGTGTGTTTCACATTATGTCATATGTAAATGGATTGGTTTATTTTATTTCATCTTTTTTTGAGGACTATACTTTTCTCGTTTTGTGTAAAGTCAATCGGCAGCATTTTGCACTTGAGTTTCAGTGAAAGAACACCTCATTCAATTTTAAACCTTTGGATATCTCAAGCCCGGTGTCAGTCTGGCATGTGACTTAAGCAGTAATAACATCAGATGGGATCATGCTGCCACATGAGAGATTCTTGCTCAGGCTGGACCAACTATAACCAGTTTCCTTACAGCAAATTTCTGCACCTTCTTCTGATGATATTTCTCCAGCTGGTATCACTTCCCAAGACACTTAAAGCAAACTGCGAGTTGAACTTACTCATTGCTTAACTTCAGAGCCAATTCCAGTTCCAGCAGTTTTGCGGGATTTCCTGGTGAAGTATTTAATGCTGACGCACTGCTGTGTACAGTTTTGGTCTCATTACTTGAGAAAGGGATGTACCGGCATTGGAGGGGATGCAGAGGAGATTCACTGGGTTAATTCCGGAATTGAGAGAGTTGGTTTATGAAGAGAGATTGAGAGACTCGGACTATACTCATTGGAATTTAGAAGAGCGAGGCGTGATCTTACAGAAATATATAAAATTATGAAGGGAATAGATAAGGTAGAAGCAGGGAGGTTGTTTCCACTGTTGGGTGAAACTAGATGGGGGGGGGTGATATCGCCTCAAAATAAAGGGGGAGCAGATTTAGGATTGAGTTGAGGAGGAACTTCTTCACCCAAAAAGGTTGTGAATCTGTGGAATTCCCTGCCCAGTGAAGCAGCTGACGCTGCTACCTTGTTGAATGTTTTTAAGGCAAAGATAGATTTTTGAACAGTGAAGGAATTAAGGTTTATGGTGAGTGGGCAGGTAAGTGGAGTTGAGTCCACGAAAGATCAGACATGATCTTATTGAATGGGGGAGCAGGTTCGAGGGGCCGGATAGCCCACTCCTGCTCCTGTTTCTCACGCTCCCCCCCCTCTCACACACCCACACACCAATTCCATTCTGTCTTTCCCTGTCTCTCTCTCTCTGTCCCTGGAGGGACAGAGGCAGCAGCATTCCACCATTTTTTTAATGCTCTCGATTACAATCCCTTCTGTAAAACCTCATCAAAATGCATGCAAACAAACTAGCCTGCAGCCTCCTCAGAACCAAGCTCAGGAAAACAACTCTGAGTGGAACCACGTCTCTCACTCTTAACACACAAAATACATAACTTCAATTGAATGTGTTCCTCATACACTGTATATCTGGATTGTATTTCCTTTCTGGTCTGTGTTGTGTTTGTATTCTATGTTGTGTGCTATTTCAGCTGGGAATGCACACGTGGGACATGATTTGAAATTCAGATTGTTATCTTTCTAGGGGAGAAATGTACGAAGGAACCTAACTCCAGCTGTAACATTGATTGCGCTGGTAACCCCAGATTCACTTACAGTTGTTTCACTTAAAGTTGCAACCTTCAGGAATGTAGCCATCACTTTAAATATGGACTTAGTGTGGAGCCTGAGGTGTAGATTCTGAAAGCTTAAAGCTCTCTTTGAAGACACATGAACCACGAGATAGACAGTCACAACAGTCATAAAAAAAGTTGCATAGACAGATTGTAGTGACTTCCTGAGGGGGTCAAGGGGAGATGAGCTTAAAACCAGAGCCAGACTATTTTGGTGTGAGTGAGGTAGCACTCCTTCAAATGACAGGCAGTGGAAAGCTGGAACTCTATCCTGGAAAGCTGGAGCTCTATACGGGAAAGCTGGAACTCTATCCTGGGAAAGCTGGAGCTCTACCCCCGGGAAAGCTGGAACTCTATCCCGGGAAAGCTGGAGCTCTACCCTGGAAAGCTGGAACTCTATCCCAGGAAAGCTGGAACTCTACCCCTGGAAAGCTGGAACTCGACCCAGGAAAGCTGGAACTCTAATCCCGGAAAGCTGGAGCTCTATCCCAGAAAGCTGGAACTCTACCCCGGGAAAGCTGGAACTCTACCCCGGGGAAGCTGGAACTCTATCTTGGAAAGCTGGAACTCTATCCCGGGAAAGCTGGAACTCTACCCCTGGAAAGCTGGAGCTCTACCCCGGAAAGCTGGAGCTCTACCCCGGGGAAAGCTGGAGCTCTATCCCAGAAAGCTGGAACTCTATCCCAGAAAGCTGGAACTCTA